ATTTATATATTTAAATTAGCGAAATATTATAAATCTGTAAATTTAATTTGAGTACAGTTTTTACAGTTACAAAGTAGGTTTCTAGTTTGTTACACACGCACACATAGAGACGTTGCGTACAATGTAATGTCTACTAAAACATATTTATTATAGTAATTTTATGAACAACTAAAATTCTATAACTCGATTCGCTGTTTTTTACATCACGTCTGTCTGAACATTTCGTTAAATCTACCAAAATTACAAGCTTTTCCCTGAAAAATTTTATATATCGAAGCAGGAGAACAGAAACTCACTAAAGTCGCGTGACATCGATCCAAATAATTTCGCGGTTGCGACCTCCCGGTTAAAAAAGGAAGAGAATTTCATAATTATAAATAAAATATTATCCAAATTTACATCCCCTCCGATCATCACGAGTCATCGTGGCTTGACGAACTCTAAAAAAATAGACAAATGTATTAGACATACGACTATAATGCGCTAATTTAAATTCACATTTGACTAACGTGCTATGTTGAGTTCGGTAAATAAATATCCGCACGCTTCAGTAAATTAACGCTCCCCAACGCAACACCTGCGTCGATCACGAAGTAATCGACGCGTATATATAAATATTATTACAATTAATATTTTTCAGACAAACGGTCGCGGTTGTGATTCTCGTGACGATTTCTTGCGTGTAAAATCCGCGAAGGTGAACGCCGGTCCACCACGTGGATCTCGGCCACACAGCGCGAATTGACGGTTATTTTCTGGGACCGTGTTCTAGACCCAAGTCTCTCTCTACGACATACAACGGCCATAATAAGAGTATGCGGAATACGCGGTGTTAATAACGGGCTCGGTAAAAAGCCGATTGACAATCAAGTGACAATACATTTCGTCGGCGATCAGGCCGGCATGCCGCCGGCGGAGCTCCATCGACCACGCGGCCGCTGAAAGATTTAGCAGCCGGCCCAACTTCAGAGCTACCAGATAGTAGGATAGCATAAAACGCGATGCCTCTTACCCAGGCCACTGCCGACGAGGCCGACGAGGGACTCCCACCTCCGAGAGAAGGAGTATCTCTCCTCCCCGCTATGTAATATAATTTATCGGCGCGTCATGAACGCAACGAGAACTCCGGTAAGACCGGCAAGTCCGACGGGCGCACGAAACGCTTCGCAAGAAAAGTAATTGTGATAATAAATTAGGGGCAAAATAATAATAACTGCCAAGAGGAAATTTAGATTTATTTATTAAGATGAGGGAGATGTTAGCAGAATTTTAATTACTTCGGACTTCATTATTCGTAGCTCATTGAAGACTTCGTAAAGATGACATCTCTCTCGACAATCTTGCTAAGGAAAGATGACTTCCGACTTCATCGTAGCGACATTATATGCACTTCCTGCTGACTTGTAAACCGTTATTTGAATTTCACCGTCTCAATTTTATCTCAAGGTCCGACTCAAGTCGATGAATAATGCATACTTTGCGTTCGTGGAACTAGCTCGCGACAGTTCGCGATCTCGAAAGGGCGTAACGTAGGAGTGTCCAGAAAGATCGGCGGTACCAAAGAATGCGGCCAAGCCGCAATGGATTTCGCGCGCACCTCGTTACTTAAGGAGGAAGCGGCCGTCGCGAAACCGCGTACCGGTCTGGGTGGAGTTACCCGCGGCGTTGTACCGCCTTTGACAAATACTTGGAAACAGGATAGCAGGAGCAGAGCCGGAGAAAGAGAGAGGGTGAATCGCCGTTAGGAAGCGAGGAATCGCGCAGTGACGGATTACGTCGACTCAACGAGCCTTCGATATAATTACCGTATCAACGATCATCTTAATCTTATTTAAAGTTTATTAAAGTGTTCACTTGGGCTTATCGCGAAGTGATTTAAAAAGTTCGCCTTTAAATTTTGTTTATATTAAATTTAATTTATACTAGGTTTAATTATATTAAAATGAAAAATATTTTAGCTCAAAAATTGCTCTCATATTTACCTGTATATATGTTGTTATATATTCATATATGTATCAATATATCTACGTGTCATTTTATTAATATTTATAAAATAGTATTAATAATCCTAGCTCGTGTTAGTAACTATCATTAATATAAAAAACAGGGATAATGAATAAGAAGCAAAATTTCATGTATTTATGTGAATAATACTTAGACAGGAAAAAATTACTGCCTTATAAATTCTAAAGAAGAGACTAACATCCGTATCTTGCGAACGGATGGAGAATCTTACTTTCTAAATACGACTGAAAAATAAAAATGACAATAGAAAGCGACAATTTTTCTCAAGTAGATTCAGTTTCCATGTCTCAAAATACATAAAATACGAATCTCAAAAATTTAATGAGATTATCCCTACATGTCGAAAATTTGTTAGAATTAACTAATTAATAATTAATTAGTTTAACGAAATTAATTTCTAAGATTTATCGAACTTATTTTGAAGTATCTAAACGGTAGATATCGTTTACAAACAGGATTGTCACAAAATTGGAAATCAAAGAAATAAGAGAAATCAGAAAAAAGTAAAGGATTTTGTAAAAATTTTCTGAAAAATTAAAATCCTTGATTTTAAACGTAGCAATTAACATTTCTGAGTTAAATTGTTCTTTCCAAATATTTGATGATTTTCATATTAGGACAAAAATATAAAAAAAAAATTCGAAATATTATTGAAAGCATGAGGAAAAATCATGAAATTTTGTCCGGAAATCGGGGGAAAGTTTAGAATGAGAAATTTGTGACTGCCCCGATAAGGGATACGAGACACGTCGATCCACTACTGCGGAGGCAGTGAAAAGAGAAGGAGTGTGCACGGCCCACTTCCTTTCCACCGAGGAGTGCTTATCGAACGCGGTTGCTGGCGGTCGCCACGTGCCCAGTTCTGATCCCGCTCGAACATGTTCCCCTGCGAATGCAAGTTTCGAGTGTGACCCGGCCTGGGGACATGGGCACGTTCTCGGCGAAGGTCAACGGACTCTTCCGTTGCTCCACTATGCTGTCCGCGGGACATGCGTGGGTGTGCACACGTGCGTACTTACGTACGTACGTACGTACGAGCGTGCGTGTGCCCGACGGCCGGCAGCTGGCGAGCGGGTGTCCGCCCAGCGTCGCGTCGCTCCCATGGAGTGCACCCGTTATCGACACGACCCACCACCACGTCATTGCAGGCGAACGCGCGTCGAGGGGATACCGACCAACAAGCAGATCATGCTTCCCTATTATGTTGCGCGGCAGCTCGACATCTTGCGGTCCGCGCGGATTCCTTGCCGCGCGACGACGAGGTGAGCGCGACACCGCGGAATGTACGCGCGCACGCTCGGCGTCCCGAATAACGAAACGCGCCGCTGCGAATACCATGGACGATGTATTTCGACAGCTGCCTTATTTCCTACGTTATTGTCCACGATGGAACGATTTGTCGCAACTTACTTTCAGATCGTATCTTCTGCACGTAAAATAAAATCAGTCGCACCGATCCGCAGCGAGGAAGAAGAGAGAGGAGGAAAAAAAAAGATTGCAAGGAGATTTAGAGCAGAGAAGAGATGAATCTTATTGTGCGCGCGATCAATCAGCGTGATTAATCGGCGATCGATGACTTTAGGAGCCAGTTCACCGCGAGATAAAATGTATAAAAATTATGTAAGGAGGGAGAATAAAACAAAAAACAAAATTAATGGCTGATCTAAAGAGTAAAAAGATAAGAGTTGAGTTTGAAAGATAGCTGTTCCTCTTTTATATCAGTTATTTAATTTTTATTATATAATTAGTTTATTCATTCGATGAACCTATTTTCTAAGATTGTTACTTTCCCACCATTAAATATTTCATGTAATTTAATTGTATATTCTTTGTGAAGTAAAAAATATAAGCCATTTTTCTCTCTTTTTTCTTCTCAATTTTATTCAAATAATAAAATGCTTGTAAAATACGTCATAATTTAAAAAATTTGTAAACTAATTCGAGTAAATATTTACAAAATTGTGAAATTGCAAAATTGAAATTTCAACGATATTTAATATTAAATACTGATTTTTCGATTATTTTTATCTCTTTTAACTTTTGAACTTTTCGTTCAAATATTGATACGTTTTTTATTAAAAAATGGCGTAATTTTAATAATGTTATAGCTATAAAATAATATAAATGATAAAAATATTTCTATTTAAAAAAAAATCTTCACAAGATTCAAAGTTTTATATAAAAATGCAAGAATAATTTATCTTGTAAAATATTTTGTAAATAACTAATCTTATAAAAAAAGACCTTACGGAGATAAAAAAATGTATTATACTTGACATCGCACCACTACTGCGTCACTTTATATTATAAATGTTACAGATATTCGTGCTTTGTGAAGGGGAACTTTGATGTTTTTGCAACTAAATTCGAAAAAACGTATTTTGAAATTTTCTCTTTCGATATTGAACTATTCGATCAATTAGACCTTATTTTCCTTATTTTCAGCCTACAAGGAAGACTATTTTCTGTTTTATAATAAATACTAGATATTTTTATTCAAATTTTCTTCAATGCATCTTTGACTGGATTATAAATAAATTAACAAATTATTAGAGCTTCGCCCAAACTTAAAACCCAAACATTTCTACTTAGAACTGTCCGAATAATTATTTGATCGCGCGATTTTTCGGATCTCCTGTCTTAAACGAAACGTCTCAAAAGCCAAATCAACTTCGTAAAATAAAAAATATAGGAAAAATCAATGAAACTGAAAACCTGAACCGTGTTGGTACTGAAATTGACAATAATTGATATCGTTAATTAGTTCGGCTTTTGCGTGACTTGAATGGG